CTGTAAACCGCTTAGAGAGGGCTGAAAGCCCTATGAAGCGGTATATAAGTCTAACTGCTATTGCTACTGCTATTGCTAGCTTCTTGGATAAGAAGCGAAACGTCTTTAAAGAAAAACAAGTAAGTCCAGATGCCTCCTGAAAAAGCACCTTTGGGACAACCCTGACCTGGATGACGGAGAATCTCTAGAGATTTCTCTCCCCTTGCATGGTTGAAGTGGGGTCGAGAGGCATGGTCAATGCGCCTTCCCTGACATAAGAGGCCCAATCCTGGGAAAAGACTCAGCTGCTTTAAAGAGTTGCTGACCAAACGTGATCGGGGTGCCTTTTTTTAAGAATCAAATTCGAAATGCTCCACAGCTTTACTTGCAAGCCATCATTGCTCCCTTGTTCCCAGAACTTTGCATGCAACTGAGGTGGGGCGAAAAAAGAGAGAGAGGAGGAGGAGGAAGAGGAAAATCACTCAAAATCACATCTGTCTGACAGGCGCCACTGCAGAGAAGGATTTATTAGTCGGAAGAGGTGGAGAGTTAAGTAGAAACCCACAAATAGATCTAATTCGAGGAACAGACCCTTGCTTAATGATTAAAAGTAGAGTTTGTCATTTGGATGATTCAAGCCACTTCCTCTTAATCCCATGGAGAACTGGCTGGCATGCTTGGCATTCTTCCACGCAGCGCCTTATGGAAGGCTGAGCCATCACTGAACACTTTTAGTTTTTGGAAAAGTTTATTATTTTTCTTACTCATGCATACATACATTTCACAAATATACATTTCTCATAAATATTATTAGTGTTATACATTATCCTTTAACATTTATAAATTCCATTCTTCCCCTAAAAATATAGTAATGTATTCGAGATTGCTTTCCTGCCATCCCGTACAGTACATCCATCTTATATTACAGCCATCACTGAATACTTTAAAAAAAAACCTCAATTATCTTTAAAAAATTTCAATTCTTAAAAAAATCTCAACTTGAAAAAAAATCTCAATTAACTTTAAAAAATCTCAATTAAAAAAATCTCAATTAACTTTTAAAAAATCTCAATTAACTTTTAAAAAATCTCAATTAACTTAAAAAAAATCTCAACTAATTTTTAAAAATCTCAATAAATTTTTTTAAAAATCTCAATCAACTTTAAAATCCAGCACTTAAATTAAAAAATGCGTGCAATCCCTTTGACCCTCAACCCTGTTCAAAACTTACACACCCAAAACACACCCAAAAACCCCTTAGTTGATCTCCATTAATTCAATCTTAATCTCAATTAACTTTTAAAAAAATCTCAATTAACTTTAAAAAAACCTCTCAATTTTTTTTTAAACCCAGCACTTAAATTAAAAAAATGCATGCAATCCCTTTGACCCTCAACCCTGTTCAAAACTTACACACCCAAAACACACCCCAAAACCCCTTAGTCGATCTCAATTTACTCAAACTTAATCTCAATTAACTTTTAAAAAAATCTCAATTAACTTTAAAAAAACCTCTCAATTTTTTTTTAAACCAAGCACTTAAATTAAAAAAATGCATGCAATCCCTTTGACCCTCAACCCTGTTCAAAACTTACACACCCA